CTAAAAAAAAAAAAAATTTTTTTTTTTTTTTTTGTTTCAGGGATTGAACTTGGGACCCTGCACTTGCAGAACCACTGAGCTAAATCCCTGGCCTGTAAGAATTTTTAAAAATAGTATAATTTCAAACAATAAAAAAGGTTTAACCTAACAGGAAAATATACTAAAGCTAAAACTCTATCCATCAAATAGTACATTTCCAAAATACATAAAGCAGAGTTTGACAGAATTATAAGGCATAACAAGCAAATTCACATAGTGAAAGATTCTAATATACCTGGTTCACTCTTTTTTTGTTTTCCCAGAACTAGGGATCAATTCAGGACCTTGAGTTTGCCAGGCAGTTGTGGCACAACTAAGCTAAATCCCCAGCCCTATCCTGGTTCAATCTTTGACAGAATGAGTAGACAAAAAAATTAAGTTTCTGAGCTGGGGATTTAGCTCAGAGGTTCCACCGCCTGCCTCACAAGTTCAAGGTCCTAAGTCAGATCACCAGTACAAAAAAAAAAAAAAAAATTAAGTTTCTATAAGATTTAGAACAACACAAACAGCAAAAGTGACCTGAGGCACATGGAAAATATCATGGTCAACAATTGCAGAAACGGACATTCTTTTTGTGAGGACACAAACATTTAAAAAGATGTCCACAGTCATAAAGCAAGTCTCAGTAACTGTCAAAGAAGTGAAATCATACAAGTCATATGCATATACAGGAAATCAATAACTACAACAGAAACTCGAGTAAGAAACACCCAACTAAACTGGCTCAGCCTGGTTCTGTGTGGGAGACGCACCCTAGGGAGGATTGTCACCAGAACGGTACAAAAGGAAACGAAGAGGAAGGCTGCTTCTCTCCTGTCTTCTTTGGAGCAGCTCCATCCAGCCTTTGCTTTCACCTTGGACGTTGTCTCCTGGCTGCCAGCACAGACCCTTCAGCCTCCTAACACGCACTCACTCGGGACACTACACGGAGCTCCAGGCTTCAACTGGATCCTCAGATCCCCAGGGTGCAGACTGACATTTTGCACCCTTCCACAACTGATTCTGTGGGCGGCCACAGTGAGCCAATCTTGTAAACACTTATGTTTGTATATCTTGCACTATGTCTGTTTCTCTGGTAAGCACTGACTGACACAGTAACAGTTCATTAGAACCCAACTTCTGAACTTAGTCATACTCTCATTAAAGAAAGAAGTCACAACAGAAATTGTCCAGTCTGACTAAAGTGAGTCCTTCACAAACAACAGGACAAAGCAAAACAGGCTGCTTTTAGCAAACGATGGCAGCTTCTCAATAAATCGGTCAAATGGACTCAAAAGGAAGTACAAACCCCCGGCGCCAGAAGTCCAGTGATTGTGTACACAACTGAGCAGATGGTCTTGGACATCCAAGTTACAAATATTCACCCCAGGTTCCTTGGCCCCTTCAATACCTATATGAGCCCTTCCCCAGTTAGTTGCTAACATCTCTCCCCTGGTGTCAGCCCATCCTCTCAAGGATGGAATGTCTCCCAGCCAGCTGCCACTATCTCTCCCACTGTCAGCCCATCCGCACACAGATGTGATGAACTCTACTCTTCCCAGAGAGCCGCTAGGAAATCTCCCAATTTCTAGTTCCTGTGAACTAAAATAAACTTTCCTTTCAAAAGCCTATTTTTGACAAGTGGATTCTTTATGACAGAAACTAGAATACAATTTGAATTGAATGAAAATGACAGTACAATAGAATCAGAATAATAGAATACAGAGCCCATACGCATATTGGATAAGAAGGAAATCTGAAAATCAATGTTAGAAAATAATACCAAATCATGGTGGGGGTGCATAAATAACAAACAAGCAGAAAGGGAAATAGAACCAAAAAAAAAAAGACCAACTGAGCCAAAAGCTGATTCTCAGGAAAAGGATAATAAAATTGATAAACCCCTGGCAAGACTTGCTGAGGGAAAAGAGGGACGAACACCAGGCATGTGAGATGTTCAGCAGTCAGTCAGCGAGGGAAATGCCACCCACATCCACAGTGACCACGCGTGGGGAAACAAAGCCCTGTGGCCCCAGGGAAAGCAGGGCACTGGCTGGCCACCAGGCCCCGGTCCCACTCAGGAATGTACCCAGGGACCCGGCCCTCGTGTGAACACATCTTATGTTCAGGTTCCCACCCCTCACCTGAACACGTAGGCCCCACCCCACACGTGGCACAAGGCCCCTCACCTGGAAGACCCGCGTCTTGAGGTTCATGCTGCCATAGCCTTCCCTTTGGCTGAGGTAAAACGTGCCTGTGAAGCTGGAGCCATCTGGCCACATGTAGGTGCCCAGGCCATGGCAGTGGTCACGGTAAAACTGCCCACGGTAGGCCTGTGGGCAGGAGGTCGTGAAGGAGCCTGGGTGCTGTGAGTGGGGCCGTGGGGCCTCCCTCAAGCTGGCTGGCCCTGAGGTGCAGGCACTCACCAATGCCCACGCCACCCTGCCCTGTACCCAGGCAGAAGTCTTGAGAGGTGCTGCAGGGGAAGCCAGGGACCTGGGCGGGACTGGTGCCCACCCAGGCTCAGCAGTCTTAACCCCATCCTGCAGCACTCCCCATCTCAGCACCCCAAACCCAGCAGCAGGTCTCCCCTGAGGTCCTGGGTATGGCCAAACAGAGTGCCCAACAGTGAGTTTCCATTTTGTCTTTAAGAAGATCCTTTGCCATCTATTTAATCTTAAACACAAAGCAATTCCACCAGGGTATGTGGCTGTAGTTATTCACGGTTGTATTTTTATTTTGTGCTTTGAGACAGGGTCTCACTATGCAGATCAGGCTGGCCTTGAACTTGCTAAGGAGCCCAGGCTGGCCTCCACCTCACAGCGATCCTCCTGCCTCAGCCTCCCCAGTGCTGGGATCACAGGCGTGTGCCACCCCGCCTGACATTTAATTCACAATTCTAAACAGTTCTCCCAGAATACAGATTTATCTTAAGTCACAGCTTCCCAAGCCTTCCTTATCCAAGGTTCCCTGACAGAAGTCTCAGACTTCTCCCCAAGCACTTCCAAACAGGAGAGGCGGCAGCCTGGAGCTTCATGTGATGGTCCCAGGTTCACATCAGGATGCTCAGGAAAGGCTGCCCAGCCCCTGGAGGAGGATGTGGGATGGCAGCAAAAGCCACTTACCTCGCCCGTGGGCCAAGAGAATTCGCCGTACCCGAGCTTCACATTGAGCCCAAACTCCCCTCGGTAGACACAGCCGTCCTGCCAGGTCTGCACGCCATGGACCAGCTGGATGGAGGCCTTCTGCAGGTCCCGCTCACTCAGAGGCCCCTCAGACTCCTCATCCTCCTCTCTTGGGGATACCCGTCCATCCCTGGAAGACAGCATAGTGAGGGCAGCAACAGGGGCTGAAATGCTGTAAGAGTGACTGCGTGTGGGACACTGCCACCCTCTCATTTCACCCTCACCATGACCCTAGGGCATGTGTTGTTGTCACAGGAAGGGAAACTGAGGCACAGAGGGTACAGTGATTGCCATGGGGCACTCAGGAAGTAGAAGGTACAGGAAGGGTGCAAACTGACAAGGGCAAATGCTGCTGGCCTCTGAGGAAGATAAGCCAGCCCGCCACCCAAGAGATGGCCACCTGACAATCACAGACACCAGCACAGACTCCGGGGTGGGCACAGCTGCAGAGAGATGTGGGTTCCAGGTGGGCTGCTTCCTGCCTGTTCCTGCTACCTCAAGGGCCAGTCGGAACTCAGACCTGAATCCCAGCCCCATGCCATCACACCACATCCTGCCTCGTGGCTGCTTGGGGGAGTGGGGCTGGAGACCAATCTATGTCTGGTGGTCACCTGGCCAAGAGCACCACCCTGGGAACCTGAGTCAGCCCCTGCGCCAACCTCAGAGGATCACAGGGGCTGAGTCTGCATCTGCCTGGTAAGGAAGGGGCTCAGCTGTGCCGGGCGTGTTGTTACACAGAGAGAAGCCAGAGGACAGACATTCAACCACAATGAAAAACATGAGGGGCAGATTCAGCTCCTTGGTTCATTCATTCGTTCGTTCCTTCCTTTCTCTTTCCTTCTTTCTTTCACCTACCTGTTGTCATGGGCTAAATTTTATCCCCCTCCAAATCCTTGTGTTGGAGCCCTGAACCACAGTGGCTTAGAACCTTACATGGAGATCAGTCATTACAGAGGTAGTAAGAGCAGCTGGGTTCCATCTGTGACCTAATGTAGGCCCTAGTCCAGATGACCCATGCCCTGGTAAGAAGGGGACATCTGGACAGAGAGATGCACAGGGGGAGGTGCTGTGCCTTGGGGGCTGGGCTGCCATCTACATATGGGCTAAGCAGAGAGGGGACGCCGGCTGGACCTGTGGCCCTCAAAACTCAGACCATAAATTTGTTGTTTAAATCACACAATCTGTGGTGCTTCATTACAGCAGCCTTGGAAAACTAAGACACATTATTTACTCATTTTTCTACATGTGATAAATATTAACTGGTTTTTTAAAAAAATAGCATTAATAAATGGGAAAGATAACCTACAGTGGGACTAGGAAAATGGAATTCTTTGTTGTTGTTTTAGGTTTTTGGTTTTGGTTTTGGAGTCAGGGTCTCACTATGCAGCTCAGGCTGGGCTTGAATTCACTATGTAGCCTTTGGAGTTAGTGTGTCACAAATGAATGTGAGGTACGTGAACAGTCCACAAAAGACAGTGGGGTGGTAGATGGATTTCATGAAATGCTACAGAACACTCCTGACTCAAAGTAGTCTTCTTTTCTTTTCTGTCAAGGTCTTGCTACATAGTTCAGGCTGGGTTTGAACTCACTATGTAACGGAGGGTGGCTTCAAACTCAAGGTCCTCAGTCTCCTGACTGCTGAGATCACAGGAGTTGTACCACCACACCCGGTAGTAGTGCTCACTCTTAACACCACAGAAGTGAAGGAGCTGTGCCAAATAAGGGTCCCCTCCGCACCCTGAGAGAATTATTCTTGCCCTCCCCAGAAGTGAAAGGGTGGCAGAGCAGTGTGGGCAGGCTAGAAAGGACACCAGATGAGGTCTGGGAGTCCAGTTTCTCATTACACACTGTGCTTTTCCTCAGCAGTTGTTGATATAATGTTTAGGTTTCATTTGCTCTATGGAGTTTAAGTTTTGTGGGGGCTGGGAGTAACTTGTGGTGCCCACCCCAACGGAGCATCCCAAGCAACTCTGGGCCTCTGGTCAGGATCGACACCCTTGCTAGAGGGTCCCCTGCACCTTGCAGTGACGAGGTCATAGCTGTCCAGGTGCCTGTGGTCCTCCACAGCTGGGGGCTGGTCGTCCTGCTCCTCCAGTGGACCTCTGGCTCTGTGGTCCAGGATGACAAAGGAACGATCCCTTTCCATGTCTGTCCTCTTCTAACTTGGAGGCAAAACCAGGCACCACAGTGAGTACTCAGAAATTCTTCAAAGGATCCAGGTGCCTAACGACCGTCCCCAGCTCCACCTGGCTCAGGTGAACTGAGCCCCCTTCCCCAGCTGTTCTGGCTAGGTCACTCCAGTCCCCACCTCCCCGCTACGGGTCTCACCTGGGCTAGGAGAGCACTCCCTCCACGGTTCCCAAGTCTTAGAGGTCAAGACCCGGCTAGGGTAGCTGGATAGGTTTCCCTGGAGACGCCACGCCCACACCCACGCCCTCGGCTCCAGCCAATCCCCGTGCCCATCCCCATCCGCCCTCGGAGCAGGAGATTCAGGCCTTCTGGCCAGTTAGGAGTTGAACTGCCTGCCCATCTAGCCCTGGATCTGGTGCTGTAGGCACCTTGAGGGGAACAAGGCAGGGGTAGAGGTCACCGCCCAGTCACAGGACTAAGGCTTGATCAAGCCCCGCCTGACTGCAAAGCTAGACTTTGTAGACTGGGTGAATGTGTGCAGAGGGTAGAGTGGGAGCCCGCGGATTGAGTGGACAGAGGGAGAAGAGGGGCTCACTCAGACCTCAGAGGGTACTCCGCTGAGCTGCACCAGCGCGTGCAGCAACGCGGTCTGAAGCAGACAGACATACGGCCCTCACCCAGCAGCTGCATGGTGTAGGAGCCATGCCAGGCCACCCCACCCCAGGAGCTCTTTGGGGACTAAAGCAGCTGGACTAGGACCCGGGCCCTGGGGGTACCTCATGCACACCCTATTCCTGTCTCCCAGTTTACATCTCTTTCTCCTTGGCCTCTCAGCTCCTCGGTGCCAGCTTGATTTCTGGGTCCATTTTATAGCACAAGGTACAAACGCAATCCAGAAAAGTTTCACGAGAAGTTCATCGTACTACGTGCATGTACCCCAACTGAAATATAAAACGCCGATCATGATCCACAGAACTCATTTCCCAACTCAGCACAGCTTTCAGGGTCAGGCACAAGGAAAGCACTTCAGAAAACATTCCAAGCCCAGCAGAGTGGTGGTGCACGCTGGTCATCTCAATGTCTGGAAAGCCGTCGCAGGACTGCAGGTTACACCCCAGCCTAGGCGACTATCAGCTCACTAAAGGGAGGGGGCTGGGGATGTAGCTCAGTGCAAAGGCCCTGGATTCAGTCCCCAGTATTTCCGGAGAGAGGGGAGCAATTCAGTTAGACTGCGGAAGGCTCCCATGAGAGGCTGGTACAAAGTCGGAGAGATGGCGGCCAGGCTAAATGTGGGCATGAAGTGGAACGTTATTGCCCAAGGCTTGGTTACCAATCTACAAGCTCCACGGGGTGGCATGCAAGGCATCAGGCAGACTTTGCAACATACAGCTCACCTCAAACACACTGCGAGGAGGCTAAAGAAACAAGTCATTAAGTAGGAGGAAGCTCGGGTTTGGTTAGCTTCAGTTGCCCAAATGCTAGCAAGGACCCAGTTTCTCCCTCCTCTGCTTTTGTCCAAAGCTGGCTTCCCCTCCTGGCCATACGGAGAGAACAGGGGAGTCTTCCAAACCCTCTACTGGTTCACAGTAGAGTCCAAGCCTATTCTTGCAGCAAGTATGGGGATATAGGCATCCCTTTTTTGTGTGAGCAATTAGAACTTGCAAACTGTGGGGAAAAGGGAATTTCCACTTCCTGTCTCAGGAAAGCCAGATCCTTCCTTAGGGTGAAAAGAAAGGGTCTCCGTGGAGTTAGCTGGTAGGCGACCAGGTAAGACCTGGCTGCAGGTATCTGCTGTTCAGCTGATGGGGGCGCCCACATTGCTATGAAGACCTCATAATCACCAGTGCACAACAGGTGCAGGAAAGAGGAGGCCTGCGATCACCCCTCACATTCACCAAGACTAGGCTGAGGTGTTGGCGTCAGAGGCTAATTCTGGACAAATGGCTGCAAATCTTAAGGATGAAAATGCACTAGACGAACTTTTATCATTAGCTGAATAAAGTTGGAACGGCAATTAACTGTCTGTAGGGCCATGAAACAGTTGTTTTTCACTATACCCTGAAAAAACACTGTAGGGGAAAAATCCACTGAAGACGTCTTCTTAAACACCAAACTCATGAACATTAAATTACTTAGATATAGCCTTTCTTAAAGTTACAGTGCTAACCCTCTAAAGAAAAACACCATATATATCCTAGCCTACGAAGAAGTGATAAAAATGCTAGTTTTATTTTACATGAGCCACATTTACAATAAAAATGAAAACATTCGGGATGACAAAAGGCAATTTACTAGGAAGCAGATAAAAAAGATGAGTGCTGTAACAAGAGTTCGCACAGGACGCCAGGCAGCTGTCCACAGCCCGGGTCGGGTCCGTGGGCCCTGCGGAAGACCGGGAGGACTCCGCGACACTCCGGGCGCCCGGGGCTCACGGATCCGGCGGGGAGCGGGAGCGGACTTCCGGCC